GCGGGCTGCTGCGCCGTCCCTTCTGCGCCTAGGGCTGGGAGCTTCGGCAGCGAGTATCCCTCGGGAAAACAGGTCTTCCTGCTCTCCAAGTTTTGAAGTAAGACTTGAGAGGTCGGGGTAAATCCAGGTGCCTTCTAGCAGTGTGAGCTCCTGGCGCTGTAAACGCGTTGAGGCCGGGCGTCAGTGCTGTTCAACAAGTCCGTGTGCTTGCAACTATGGCTTTCTTTGTAATTCTTACCTTTCCCTAGTGTCAGCGTACTCTTTATTTTGGACTTTTTGGTCGCTTTGAACTGTTAAAGCCACAAACTCGCTGCGAAATACGCAAGATGTTTTTGTAACTTTAATGTGGCTTCCTTCTAAAACATAAATGCCGTCTTAATAATTTTTGAAGTTGTTATCTGAAGTACTTGAGCACGTGTCGTTTTTAAACAACTTCAGTGAAAACGTGTTTCTCATTAAATACGGACTATAATTGACTTTCCAGCAGAAAATGGATAAAATGGCGATCTTGGTGAGCTGTGGAGAGGCCAAAAGAAATAGCGTACCTCACCAGTGAAATTCACATTAGTATCACTTCTGAGGCAAAGCTTGGAAAAAAGCCAATATTTGAAATCCCGAGAAACTTGCGGTTATTCACCAAAAAAGACCTTTTCTTTTCTTTTTTTTTTTTTTTTTTGTAGTCGGTCTAGCAAAATGTTGAGTCAACGTCTGAACTTTATGAATCACGCCTAGATCTTGTCTGCGTGACCATGGTTAGTTCATACACAGGCTGTTGTGCTCCTGGTGCTTTCCTGAAGTTTGTGAGAGAGCTGTTCTGCTGCTTCGTAGGCTGTGAAGAACGTTATCGCCTTTTTCTGGCTTTCCTGAAGGTCTTGGAGAATCATCTTCTCACTGACCACCTTCCCTATAGACAGTACTCTTCTGCCTCTGCTACTAATTCTCAAGATGCATGTATGTGAGAAGTGTCATTTTCTTCACTGTATGCATTTTGCAAGTTTAAAAACTGTTTGCAAGAAAGCAGGGCATTAAAACGCAAGCAAGAAGAATTGACACAGAGAATAGTGTGCAGTGGAAGGCATTTGACTAGGACTTAAAACAGGATGGCCAGGAAATAAAACTGGAAAACCAAATCTCAAATCTGTAGCCACTCAGAAAAGAGGACTTGGGTACTACTTGAAACTTTTTGTATTTTCAGACTGCTACACTTTTTAAAAAAAGCATGAGTGCTTGAGTATTTTGATGGCGTTGGGCTAGTGTTCGGAGGCTTAATATTTTATGGGGTGGGAATGTTATCTTAACCTAACTTTTCCTTGAAACGTATTTTGAAATGAGTGCTCTTCAGAACTGCAGTTCCTGGTTTTGGTGGAAGAACTTGAACCATTTTATTTTTAAAAGGAAATAAAACACTTTCTCATTGCACTGAGTACGTGCTTTGGCAATATGAGCTGTTGATGGTTTAAATTCTAGTATTACAAGATACCGTTTCTGATAGGCTTGGTATTTTGGGTAGCTTACAAAAATGAGTTCCTTCTAGTTTTTCTTTGTTCCTTCAAATTCAAAGCTTAGTTCTGGGTATAAGATCCTTTCAGCTTACTTTGTTTTAATTTGATTGGTTTTCCATTTCAGCACTTCCATTATTTAGATTGGCTTTGTTCTGTAGTAATCAGACAAGCTATCATGCCTGAAGTAAAAGTTAATAGTTCTGTTTGTGCTGTGTTCATCCATAAGCCAGCCTGGGTTTGGATTTCCCATTTCAGTTACAGGCCAGTCTGATTCCTCTTGCTTTAATATTAGAGACATTGTTGATTTTGCAGTTCTGTGGCATGACTGTGGATTAGGACATTACATAATTCATGAACATTTTTTAAATCCACTCTGTTTCATAGTTGGTAGATGTCCCGGTCCAGTGTTGGTTGATGGTAGTTTTTACAGTCACTTTTATGTAAGTGGCTGTTGCTAGATAGAAATATTTCTAGTAGAAACTGTCATTCATTTTCAGCTGTAGCGTGGCTGGATTCCTTGAAACGCAGGCCTTCTGCCTGCTTTAAATTCTGGTTGCAGTTGTAAAGCCTGGGTCTCTAGACTGTTAAAGCCAGAACCGGTGCTATGCACACTGCATCAGCCCACAGTCTCAGCTCTTAGGTAGTAAGAAGCAGTTTCTCAGCCTTGAGTGCTGATCTCAAGGAGGATCAGAATGGTTTGTGACAATTTTTGTTGATTTAAAAAAAAAAAAAACCCACACCCAAGACAAAACAAAAAACCCCTCAAAAGCATATTTAGTTGCTAAGCAACTCACAGCGGTGCCCTGCTGATAATGTTTTAGAGGATCCATGAGGCTCACAGGCTCCCACACTAATGTGAGAGGAGGCACCCTTTTGCAAAACACTGCCTGAGGGACACGGAGTTCTTGCTCTTATCTTTAGAGGGTGTTGTGGAAGAAAAGGGTAACTCCCAGTGTTTTATGCAGAGAGAAAGAAAAGAGCTAGTGAGGTAACATCCCGCTGTAATTTTTAGATGGGTTCTCTCTTCCATGGTGTTCACCTCTAGGTTCAGTGGAAAGACTGTTCCTCTTATGCAGAAATGCAATGACAAAAAAGGCTTGTTTCTTTGGAGACAGTGTTGAGGTCAGCAGCCCTTCACCCTCTCTGTTTGCTTTCCCTTTTTTTTTTTTTTAAAAAAAAATAGATGAGGGCGGAGAAGATGAGTGGAACGAGGAAGAGTATGTCACTGACAAGGGCCTAAGGCAATGGGGAAGCTTGAATAGAAACCATTAGACCTGGGAAACTACTTCAGGAAGAGAAAGTCTGATAAATAAGCATAAACTAAGGTGACACTAAGGTCTTCATAGAACTGTGATAGCTATCAGTACTTTAAGCAGGCCTATGATGTTTTAAAATTAGTCACTTAAATTCCTTCTGCTTAAAAATGTGTTTGTTAATTTGAAGAAAATATTTGGATTCTTGGCAGCAAGATAAAAATGTTATGTAGAACTTCTGTAGGCCTCAGTCAAATTTAGAGTGATTCAGCTGCAAAATAAACACGAGGTGTAACAGAAGTGAGGTTGTATTCACAATTTTTTTGTGTGTGTGTTTGTGAGAAAGGAAATTAAATTGTTGCTTAGGAACCTTAATTAACTTACTCAATAACCAGATGATTTCCAGGTAGTAAGTCTCAGTGTTTCAGAATCTGACTGTGGACCATTTTGCAGTCCATTGTATTTATTGGTCCTTGGGCAGTGGTCAGAATCATGCAACCAGTCCAACAGTGAATTGCCCAAACTAGTCCGATGCCTCCAAGAAGTAAAGCCTACTAGCTCATGTAGAGCTGTGAGAAGTGTAGGAATGGTTTTGTATCCAAAGTGTTAGAGTTCATCTCTTACCTCCTGCTTTAAGAAGGAAAGGGGAACCGTGGTGATCAGTGAAACATATTTTCAAGGTAGGTCTGATAAATACACGTAGTATTTACAATTGTTTCTTTTGCTTCCCCTGTCCTTTACCACAAGAGTAGCTGCAAATGTGTGGAGCGCTGCAGTACGTAGAGTCACCTGACCTGAGAAATATTCTAATAGATCGTTTATTAACTGGAGTTTATCTGTTGCAGGAACAAAGAAAAAAGCTGCCTGTCCAGGACTTGGTCTGTTTTATACCGTACTGTCTGCCTTCCTTTTCTCAGTGGCCTCTTTATTTCTTAAAAAAATAGAAGATGTACATTCAGTGGAAGTGAGTGCATTTCGATGTGTTTTCCAAATGGCATTCGTTCTTCCTGGTTTAATATACTACAAGTAAGTGTAGCAAATGTTTAAATTTGAAGTTATTTCCTAAAAACAGATCTAGAATTATCACTCACTTAAATCAGATTGCAGTATTATTTTAATTCAGACTTCAGCTGCATCACTGCATTGTTTTGAATTAGTTGATAGTTTCTTAATACAATTCAGAAAACTGAAAGTCTTTGACTCCCTGAATTGTAGAGGTTTCTACAGGGATTATATCAAATGTATTGATCTTCCATGAAGTGGTGTTCTTAAAAACAGAAGGTCATTTGTAGATACTCTTGGGTTATTCTGCAAGCAAAAAATTAATAGCTAGAAGAACATGTTCTGGACTCTGAATGTGATTGGGGGGGGTGGTGGGAATAAATTGGTCTGTGATCAGACAGTTAAAAATACTGTGATATTTGAAATAAGTCCCTCATCTAGAAAGGTGTGTATAATCTAGAAGGGTGTGTACATTTAAATGTGATTGGTCATTAAATAAGCAAGCCAGTGACATTAACATGACATTTCTGTTTTTCAGAACAGGGTTTTTGGGACCAAAAGGTAAAAGAATTTTTCTTTTCTTCCGAGGATTCCTTGGCTCTAGTGCAATGATTCTTCTCTACTATGCTTTCCAAGTCATGCCACTAGCTGATGCCACTGTTATAACTTTTAGCAGTCCTGTTTTTACGTCGTTGCTGGCATGGATCTTTCTCAAAGAGAAATACAGTATTTGGGATCTTCTGTTTACCCTCTTTGCAATCACTGGAGTGGTTCTTATTGCCAGACCACCATTTCTGTTTGGGTCGAACGTTACGGGGATTGAAGGAAGTTACACAGATCACCTTAAAGGAACTATAGCAGCAATTACAAGCACAGTATCTGCAGCTTCGACTTTTGTTATACTAAGGAAGGTGGGAAAATCTGTGCATTATTTTTTGTCAATTTGGTATTATGCAGTCATTGGTTTAATTGGATGTGTTATAGCACTGTTTGTTATGAATGAATGGCGTTTACCATATTGTGGTAAAGACAGAGTTCTTCTAATATTAATAGGCTTGTTAGGGTTAGGGGGTCAGATATTTCTCACAAAAGCATTACAGATAGAGAAAGCTGGACCTGTAGCCATAATGAAAACAATGGATGTGGTGTTTGCTTTTATTTTACAAATCCTTTTTCTCAATCATCTACCAACTTGGTGGACTGTGGGTGGTGCCCTTTGTGTAGTAGCTAGTAGTTCTGGAACTGCCATTCGTAAGTGGCGACAAAGCTTGAAAAAAGCTAAACAAAATGAAATCTAACAATACAGACACTAATTCATTACAGAAACAAGCAATCTTGAACTATATATACCATATTTATTTTTATTTATTTTAAATATCTCATTTACCAGATTGTAGCATCAAGTTATATCCAATAAAAAAATTTGATTTTTTTAAAAAAACAAAATTGAAGATGTTTTAACAATCAATTAGGTATATGCTTTTCTTTCTCACATTTAGGCATGCAAATATGAAAAGTAGAAAGATATTTAAAAGTTGCTTGCTTCCTGTCAAAAGTGGACAGTAGATCTTTGGCTTTTATTTTCCTAAAATTCCTGATTCTCCACTTAGACCCTTTCTCTATACTTCTGAGCGGTGAAAATCACTCTCCCAGGCTTATTTAATACTATTTTGTGGTTGAGTACCAGTGGGATTGCAGTAAAAAAGTTGGAAGGGAATGAAAAGTTATAATCCTATAAACATCCAACTTTCATAGAACAGATAAAGCTTGCACATTTACAAGAGTTCTAATTTTTTTTTTTTTTTCACAAAGCTGATGCCAAGCGGGGATTTATTTTTAATTTGGATTAATTTGGAACAAAGGCTATTTCATCTTTCCAAGTAATATCAAGAGAAAATTAACTTGTGAAAATTATCTATCAGCTTTGCTTTCTTTTAAAAAGAATTTTAAATGTTTGCACTTGCTTTACAGACATAATGAAACAACTTAATCCCTTTGTTTTAATGTGATTTTTCCCGATAAACATGTCTTTAGTTGCTGCAGTCTTGGTGATAAGAGACAACAGTCAGTTGTATACCACTTATAAATTAGCCATTTCTGGTGGTATGGATTGTTATGCTGTAGCTGCACTTTTCTTTATTCTATGCAAAAGATTGTATTTTTAGGTATTTAATATAGGTTATTTTAAATGCTGCTTATGACCCTTTTGTTTAGATTCTTTTGTACAAAAGTTCTTTATAAGACCAAGTTTAAGTCGTCTTGGCCTTCATAAAGTTAGGAAGATTTACAATAAAGCATTTGCCTATTTCCTGAGAATTTACAAGAGTGCAGGGTAATAGCAGTTTCACAGAAAATGCAGGTTGGCCGAGGTCATAGCACAGATTCTATAGAACAGGTTTGAGGGGACCTTGGTGGGAGGGTGGAGGCATCCACACTACATCAGGCAGTGCTAGTGGGCAGCTTCAGCCCCATTTCTCCAGCTGGCCCTTTTAAATCTGCACTTGGTCACTTCTCTTACACATCTTCTCACTTTCATAGGCTTTATCTCGACAGCAACAAATACTAAGAAAAAAGGCTTGTGTTATTGATCTTAGTGTCCTTCATGTTTGAGGAGGAATGTAAGTTTAGTTAATATATGTTAGTCTATGTACTTTTGGGTCTTGTCTCAGTAGTGCTTAAAGAAAATTTTAATTTGGATCTTTACTTGGTCCTTTGTATCATGAGGTGGTTTTCAGTTATTTACTCACTCCACTGTTTTCCTAAAGGAGAATGCTGTGTTCTGTAGACTTGATACATGGGTTTTTTTTCAAAATCACTGAAGATGACAGATGTTTTCTTGTTTTGATTTATAGATGTCTAGTTGCATATCTTTTCTTTCACCAATAAGCATCCTGGCAGGGCAGATCTAGGGACTTGAGTCCTGAAGGACTGGCATGTGTGTAGTACTTCAGGATGCATCTGGATGTGAGGAGCCATCTTAGTGCAAGATGCTGTATGTAAACCAGCACCCTGGGTCTATATATGTTTAGGGATGTGAGCAGGTTCCACTTGAGTGGTAGAATCAGTTCTTGCTTATAGCTGTCCATTCTCTGCCTCTCCTGAAGGCTGAAGCTCAGCTACTGCTGACAAGGTCAGGAGTAGTATGAAACTGCTTTCACATCTCTTCAAAGCCTGATGTAGTAATAAAATTCTAGTTTGGCACCTGTTTCGCTTAGTACTTGAAATTGTAAACTGGGATTGTTTCTTCTGCTGCTCAGCCATCAGCTGCCATTGAGCAAAACAGCTTTCAGGAGAGGAAAATAGACTGCATTTTTTACAGCTTCACTTCATGGTTAATATGCGTGCGTTTGGATTGACGTTTATAAAAGTGTGGTTTCAAAGCAGTTCATACTGATAGAAACTTTGGTTGTCAGCTAGTCCTGCTCCCTCCCGTTGGCTCGGTGCTCGTGCTTATGTGGTTACGTGGTGAGCTGGCCCTGGGAGCTGATCCAGCTGCGTAACTTTTTAGTAAGGTTGTTGGAGAGGGCAAACTTCAAGACAGTGTGAAAACATTCGGAAGGGGAATTAGGTAATAGTTTAAATTACAGTGTATGAATGCTGCTTTGTCAGTACAGAATAAAAATAATGTGGAAGCTTATACTGAAAAATCTTTAGGTCATATGATTTCAATGAATCTTGTTTACGCTTAGTAGAGAAGAACAGACTACTGAAGAAAGGACTGTTTTCTTGCCCTTAACACATAAGTAAGTGTAGAAAATAAGCTGAAATCAACAACCTGACACAGTGACTGGTAATTTTCCTCTCAAGTTCTTGCAGAAACTCTTTCAATATATTTCCATACCTGTAGTGCCAAAAAACCCAGATGATTATTTTTTTTCTTTGCCCAAACCGATATAGTTTCCTTATGGCTCCATCTACTTATTTCCTTTTGCTGTTCCTAAACCTTCCTAAATATTTAAATTGTTAAAATAATAATCTAAACAAGATCCAATGTTGGAGAACATTGTATTTTTTGGAACATTATTTTGATTTTGATCCATCTTTTAGAGAATTGTTTAACTGGTGTAAGAATGAAGGACTTGGTTAGGGCTTCTCTAGTCATAAAGCATGACAAGCTAGCTTCTATAACTAGCTTTTCCAGATGATTTTGGGAATGGAAGACATTTAAGCTTTTTTTCCAACCACCTCAAGTTTTTAATTTTTCTTCTTCTCAAATGTAGGTTGAAAACCTGAATTTTAGTTGGAAGCCCTGAAGAGAATGAAATTATATGGATATATAATGGATACCCTAAAATGTTTTGTGGGAGTTTTTTAATTGAAAATATTTCTTAAAATTCCTGCTAAGATGGTCAATTTTTTTTTTTTTTTCCAGAGCCTTTAGCAGTTTGAGAATCTGAAATTAAAATGTCTGAGCCTGGATTCTTTTAGAGTCTGATTTTTCCTTTTTTTTTTTTTTTTTTTCTTTCTTTCCTTGGGTAGATTTTTACTTTTGAAAGATTTTTTTAGTTTTTTAAGTTTTAATACAGCAAGTTTCTCAGGGTCAAATGTTATTTTTCTAAGCTTTGAGTCAGAAATATATTATTAATGTTCATCGCCTGTAGCGTCCTCTTGTGATCTGTACAGTATTTTTAAGTTCGATAAATGTACTTTTCTGCTAGGAAGTCCTTCCTGTGTAATATGATGGAATATTGTTGCATTGCAATTGCTATGGTATAAAGTTAAGTTTCTCTTGAATTTTAACATGTTAATTCAATGAACTGATTTCAGTGGATCCTGGATAGAAAGAGTAATAATTAATTATTGGTTGTTTTAGAGTAATAATTAATTATTGGTTGTTTTGCACATAAACACAAAAAAGATTTAGTTGTTACAGATGCGCCACAAGCATGTTTCTTGTGTTCTTTACTATGCAAAACACTGTAATCATCTGTTGTCTTCACTGGGACTTTATAGCCTTAAAGCCTTATGTACCTGACTCTTCTATATAAAGCTGCTGGCTGGAAAAGCTATGTACTGTCACTGTGCAGCAGCCAATTTCTTTCAGGTTAAGTTGGTTGTCAAAGTATGTTCTAAAAGCTCTCTAAATACATCTACACTAAGAATTTGATAAGCTTATTGTGTAGACAAGAGCAGTCTACGTAATTAAAATGGATTTCCTGCATTTGTCTAACACCAGGCATGAAGCAACCTCAGCATAACAGCATTGGTGAAATAACTAGGGTGTCATTTTTCTTCTGAAACCAGGCTCTTTCCCATTTCCAAAAACTGTTCCGAGATAGCTCTTCCTGTAATTGATAATGACAAGATGGATAGTACTACGCTTGATCACCATTTAGTATAAACACTATATTTAATGTTTATACCCTCAGTATTTTAATTTCCTTGAGCTTTTGTTCAAGAGCAGTCTGTTGGAAGAAAGTTTTATTTCTAGAGGGGCAGCCTCTTAAAAGTTATTTCCTTGCTAACTAGCAGTAGTTAACCGGGAAGAGTCTGTTTTCCAGTTCTCTAACCATGGTAACCATGGTAGGCTCATCTGTGGCATCAATCCCACAAGGGTGGTAGAAGCCTGATCTCTGTCCCTGCGTGGATTCAGGGTTGGCAGTGCTGACACCAGACGTGCAACACCGACTTCAGCA